ATAGCTGCAAGTCATCTATGGTGTTCGCGTTTAGCCTTAGCACCCAGAAAAAGGTGAGCAGCCTTCTGGGTACATTTCCTTACAACTTAAGCAGTTAGAAGAAGCATTTGCAGCCTATTTTGAAAGTTTCTTCTCTCTGAGAAAACTTTTGACATAAGAAATGCCCCTGGGACCAACCACCTCCCTCTAAAGGGGTTATGATCCCAGGCAAATCAATAAGACAAAATGTGTCCCCTTCAGCAGGATGGTGGCCCAGCTCTGCCATGAGTCATTTGAGCTAGCACACAGACAGCAGAAGTCAAAGCCAGCACCTGTAAATCTGTCCATGACAGATCAAGTAGACAGATGTGCTTAATTGAGCTGAAAACAACAGCAAGAAGAACTTCTGGGGGAGAGAGAAAAAAGAAAACTATGTTGATTTCTGCCTGTCAGGACACCCTTCAGGAGCTTTCTGAAGGCTCCAGGGACTCCTAAAGCTCTTGTTCAAGCCTGAGCATCACAGCAGTACATATACATCCCTCTGCCATGCAGAAGAGTGCTGCTTTGTGCTGTGACAGTGACTGACAGCATGAGCAGGTCTGGGAATGCCCGGGTACCTCCTGCAGCCCCTTCCCCACTGTCCCACAGCACATGCAGCAGTCCTGTCCCAAAGCACTGCCCACAGGTCAGCAATGCTGCTTAGGGCACAGAACACTGCAGCACCTGCAGCCACCCCCTTCAGTGAACACCCCCACATTACACATGGATGGGAAGCAGCCATGGAAACAAAGTGGGCAGCTGGCCAGCCAGTAAATTAATTTCAAAGATAGGCAGGTGATAGATGGGATTCATGTGGGAAACAGGAGAGGATAAATTGCCCATCTGTGACTGATACAGCAGAGAACAGCACATGATGGAGCAAAATGAATGGGCACAGAGGGTTGAAGGATGGAAGGACTGAGTGGAGTGTAAATAATTGAATCCCTGAGGCCTGGATCCTGTCTTTGGGACTACGTGGGATTGCAAACGTAGGAGCACAACTGAAGGGAATGATTCATGGGCTGTGTGTGACAGATAGGACCCCCAGAGCAATCTCTCAGTGGTGTGGAGGTGGGAATGCCACTTGACAGGATGTTGAGGGAGCATATGAATGAGGAGCTTCCTCCACATCTTTCTATGAACCTTTGAACCCCGACTCTATAGAAACAGTCTGGAGGAGTCTACCAAAATTAGAGGTGATGCCATAGCTCAGCACTGAGGACCTGGTCAGGGAGGCAGCCTGTCGACTGGAACCAATTCCCTACACATAACAAACCCAGATTACACCAAAAGCCTATTGGTCTGCTCAGTGCTGCTGACTTCTTCCCTGCAGGAATCTTTGCCAGGGAGACTAAAATGTTAGAAAAATCAGCTCTTCCCCTTCTGTCCACCTCTGCCCTGATGCTGGGCAGGTTCAAGTTGGCAGAATCAAATGGTAAACAAGTGCCAAACCATTTCTAGGGTATTTCAGTCTCGCAGGAGGCAGGAGCCTGCCAGTGCCTCAGGAAAGAGGCTTTCAGCAGTGCCACTGTGTCGAAAAGCAGCTCAGAGCATTCTTGATTGTCCTGTGTTATGTTGCTTGGTTTTGGCCCTGCAATTACCCAGGAAAGACAAGCTCCTGTACTTATGGCAGGAGGCCCACATGTACATGGCACAAGTGCAGCCAGGACATGCCCAAGCACTGTGCCCAAGCACCTGTGCCCTTCCAGACCGCCTGCAGCAGCGCAGGCCCATCAGCTGCACTGTCCTGCTGCTACAGCGGGTTTAACATCCTCCCCCAAACAACTGGGCACTGTCAGAGGACATTAATTGTAGGTTATGTGTGACCACAGCCACTGCTCTCCAAGAGGCCATCAACAATGGCCAAGAGAAAACAGGAGCAAATGCACATCCAGGCTTCCTGTATGTCATCTTCCTGCCTGCAGGAACCTGTTCAAGTGGGAATTTTCATGCTTTTAAGGTCACCTATGCTTTCTTACCTTGCAACTCTATTTTTTTCTTTTTGGTTTCTTCCAAGTCTAAACCTTTAGCATTCACCACAACATGTGGCAAAGAGGATATTTCATGCCACACTGCTGAATCCTAGAGGTAGCAGAAAATCCAGTTCCTTAGTCCCAGTCCTCCTGGTACTTGGACTTCTTCCGGTATCTGTTTTAAGCAGGTGAGGTGATAGATAGCTCTTTTTTTTTTTTGAGATTGTGAACTAATTTTATACTGAGATCTGCTGTCTCATAGCTCATTTCCAACCTGCCATGCCACCTAAACCCTGGGAAGGGTGCAGAAAGGGACCTTTGGGTCTCTACCCCCCTGACACTTGAAACAGGAATGCTGGCAATAGTAGATCAATAAAATTATAATCTTGTCTAGCTGAGTCCTGAAAATTCCCAAATAAGAAGATATCAAAGGCCACAAGTCTTCAGTCTTCAACACATTTTCTTTCCAAGAAACACCAAGAGTATGGGGAAAGTTCAGATTTTCACAAATAGACTCCAATAGACAAATAGACACAAATAGACTTAAAAATGAGCAGCAGGTACATCTCAGAAAGACCTGGCTAGCACTCACTGGAGCAGCAGCAAGGCCATGGAGCACCAGAAGAGTTTGACTGAAGTTCAAATAAATTCTAGCTTCCAAGCACAGAGGGTTATTTCAGTAAGCATAAGGCAGAAACAGACCTTCTCTGTAGGGATGTAACTTCTAATTATGCATTGTTCCCTGCAGCCTATATGCATTATTATCTTCCATGTTTGTTAATCAGCTACCTGATTTTAACAAGAAGTTAACTTCTAGGAGATATGCAAATAATTCTGCAAATTTCCTTTCCAATGACTCAGCATGCATATCAGAAATGTGTTAACAGAATACAAAAGCTATTAAGAAGCTCTCTGCATAATTATCCTCTTCCTTGCCTCCAGTTCTTAATAATTTATGAAAGAAAATTAGTATCTTGTAATACTCAATCTTGCCAGAAGAAAAATTTTATAAGTTATCTTTACTTCTGTTTAAAATCTCATTTCTACAATTTTCCCTTCTCTAAAGACTTGTTTCTAAGATTTTACTTAAATAAGGCAAAATTAAATACTCTCAGTAGAAAAATGTAAGTAAGTGAAACAAAATGCGTTCAGAATTGAGGACAGCAGCACTAGTTTCAAATATGATTGCCACATCGTGAGTCAATAGATCACAATTATTTTACTTTTCCTATTTCATGCAAGATAGAACACATGGATGCGACTGAGTTCATATTACTGTCACAGAAAGGCAGCTGAAGTGATGTTTACCCAAATGGTCCCATTCATGCCATTTATTTGGGATCAAGTGCTACACATTGATGATCATGCAATTGACATAAATATGTTGGAAAATACATCAGTGTAGAGAACATTTTTTAGGGGTTAGCTATTCTCTTAGGAGACCTGATGACAGTACACACCCACTTAGTGTTTGTTATGCAGGGGTTGTTCAGGAGAAAGAAAGGCGGTCTGGGCTACCAACAGGTGGAACACTGAACTTTTACTTGATGCTCATTGTTTCGGCTTTTTTTCTGAGTAAGAGCTTAGAATTTAACTGTTCAGAGGAACTTGCAAGATTCATAACCTAAGAGATAACTTCTACCCTTGGTTTTGCTTTTTTTACCTTCCCTGTGGTTCTGCTTTCTTCACCTTCAGCTGGCACCTCTCCCTTTGAAAAATCACACCTTCAAGAAACAAGGAAACCCACCCCAGCATAACTCTCTAGTATTTAAGCCCTTACAATCCTTCCCCCCATGATGGCAAATCCAGCACTCATCCCACCAATAACAAGGTAACAGAAAGACACCCTCATCTCAAATGGCTTAACAGGCAAGGCTGGGGCAGAAAGCTGGGAAAGCTAGGGAAGGAGATCACACAGAGAGAAATAACCCTCTACATGCTTCACCAGCCGCAAAATGTTCTGATTAGGCATCTTGCTTAAAACAGCCAAGCCAGAGGCCTTTGCATGAAACATGCCTTGTGTTGTGTAATAATCACAAAGGTGTGCACAGAATGAAAATCTGAAACTGCAGTCAATTTGCAGAGGTTACCCCAAGGAATAAGAACATATTAAGCAGATAATAAAATAACCTCCCTATGATGCCATGTAGATGGGGCACACTGTCAGAAATAAAAAATCCATACTTGAAAGGACTCAGGGGTTGACACACAGACAGGAAATGTGTGTGTGATGCCTGTGTATGTCCACCTGTATGGGACACATCAAAACACTTGACAGGTCTAACCCCAGCTCATACACAGAAGCACAGGCCATTTTACAAGAAGTTCATACCCTAGACTTTGGGAAACTGCATAAAAATATTTGGAGAGCCAGACCCTGTGCAAAGCCAACCTCTGGGCCCTGCAAAGCTAACCAGTCTTATCAATAACCGACATATGAGATACTCTTTGGAAAGCCATGCTGCCAAGACACCCAGCCATAATAGGACTGTGTGCCAAGGCTCTCCAGCCCCCTGTGTTCTCACGCCTTTGGAAGCAGGCAGGCTGCTTTACTGCTGGGACAGTTTTTCTGTTCCTTCTGTCAGCAGCACACTCACAGCTCAGCAGAAGCCATCTCATGTCACTTTATGATGAGATGGGGCTCCTGACCTTAAAAGCCTCACGGCACTGTGCGCGTATTTCCAACCTCCCTGCACTGCCCAAGAAACTGTGCCTTCAAAGCACAACCCTGACGAGCTGAAGCCAAGGAGGGATCGCTGAAATCCCACCCGGCACCCCTTCTATTAACTGCGCTGCCCACTCGCACAGCTCTACGGGGAAGTTTTCCACCCCCGTGAGCGTGGATGGAAAGAGGGAGGTTCCCGCAGCGCTCAGCCTCGTGTCCCCGCCGTGGCACCCCAGCCGCGAGCATCCCCCGCGCCGCCGCGCACGCCGCCCGGTACCGGCGCCGCCCCGCGCCCCCCGTTGGCCCCCGCGCCGCCGCGGCCGTTGCGCCCGAGCCGCCGCCGCCGCCGCCGCCGCTCAGTTGGCGACATGGCCCGGCCGCCGGCGCCCCTGCTGCTGCTGCTGCCCGTCCTCCTCGCCGGTACCGCGCGCACCGCGCCGGGACACCGGCGGTCGGGGAGGGGAGCCGGTGCCGGTGCCGGGGAAGTGGGAGACGGGCTGGTACCGTGCCCCGGCCAGTCCCGTCCCAGGGAAGGGGAAAGCTGAAGCGGTCCCGTGCCGCGGCCAGTCCCGTCCCAGGGAAGGGGAAAGCTGAAGCGGTCCCGTGCCCCGGCCAGTCCCGTCCCAGGGAAGGGGAAAGCTGAAGCGGTGCCGTGCCGCGGCTGGCGCAGCGGCGCGGCGGCGGAATCCAAGCCGGGGGTGGGCAGCAGCCGTCCGGAGGCAGGGCGGGGAACCGGCAGGGGATGGTGCCGGACGCAGCTGCTCGGGGCCGGGACAGCGGCTAAACAAGGGTGCCGGGGTCGGACAGCGGCTGGTCAGGGTGTCCCAGGAGCGGACAGACTGGCCAGGGGTGCGGAGGCGGTCGGTGACAGGCAGGGCTGGTCCCGCGGAGCTCGGGGCATCCGTGCGGAACCCGGCGCCGTTAACGCCGCTCGCTCTCCACAGGGCTCCTCTGGTGTCCCGGAGCCATGGCCAGCTACCCGGTGAGTGCCGCCCGCCCCGTCCTCGGGAGGGACGGCCCCGCTGCCCTCCCTGCCTCCAGCCTGGCCTCCCGCTGCCCCCGGGCCCTTCCCCAGAGCCGCGGGCCCCAGGCCCTGGCTCCGGAGCCCCGGCGCTGAGCGCGGCTCTCTCCCCCAGCGGAGGCGCCCGGGAGGCTGCTGGCTCCGCAGCACCGAGCCCCGGCGATGCCCATCTCTACCATCTCCGTCTGCACTGCCCTTCACGGGGACTCGCTGTCCGTGTGTCCCGCTGATGCTCAGCGGTCGGGAGGGCTGCGCTGTGGGGCACACATATGTCCTGACCACAGCTAAGCCGTGTCAGGCAGTAGGAGCCAAGCCTCAAGTGATAAAATCCCATGAGGGCATGAAAGATAATGTGGCACTTTAAAATGCTGTGCCAACTGCTGTTGGACACCTTTTTCTGTGCACGCCAGGATTCTTCAGAAGCTGAGCAGAAACTTCTTTCAAATGGTGTAACTTTGGTTTCTTTTGTACCTGTCTTACCTAGCCCAACTGCGAGAAGTATGGGAACCATATGTGTCCAAGGGACTACCATCCAGTTTGTGGCACTGATGGAGAGACCTACGGAAACGAGTGTGTGCTCTGCCTTGCTAACAGGTAGTCAGTTCTGTCCTTCCCTTCCCTATATGCAAGCAGAAAATTCACCCTGACATTCCAGATAACTGATAGATAATTTAGTGGTTTTGGATCATTTGCACTGCTGCACTGCAGTTTCAGCAGCGTCCTCTCAGCTGTGAATCTCTTGCAACAGATTTTATCGTGGTACCTGTAAATGGTTTAGATTTAATTCAGTCAGCTGGATGTACCGAATATATGTATTAGCAAATACTGAGCAGGAGTATCTTAGAGGAGGTTGCCTGTCATATTCATACAATGCCATACTATCAATAAATATAATGCCAGACCCTTCCACACTTTCCATCAGAAAGCATGAAAGATGCCACCCAAAATGCAGCTTCACATACAATATATTTATGTTCAAGATCCAATCTCCTGTACTTCTTTTCACAAAGAAGAGTAAGAATGCCAAATGTTAGGAGTAAATATTATTTTGCTGACAAGCTGTCTAAAAATCAAGCAAAAGACTGCCTGATATTTGAGAGAGGGTATTTTATTCTTTAATAATTTAATATTTTTTAAAACAAATTGAAAACACAGAGAATCCATATCTAATGAGCATTATTACTCCCCATTACAATTGACTGGAAACCTCTCAGTACAAACTGAGAGGAGCTGCTGTGAATAGAAATTTGGTGGTGGTAAAAGGCAACGTATATTAATGAAATAAAAGATCTTCTGTTTCCAGCAGAAGGTAAAAGTGAGAGTAGCAAAATAACAGAAACAAAGCTGCAAACAGATAGTTCTCAAGAAAGGGAAGGCTGAAATGAGTTTCTGACTTTGGGGCAGAGGAAAGATTAATTCTGACCAGACAATCTACAAAATTCAAATAACCAAGATAAAAGAAACATAGGCCAAAATAAGGAAAGTGACAAAGGTATCAAAGAACACTTAAGGTAATGTTGTAAAGAAAGTGCTGAAGTGTGTCATGCATATCTGCAGAATTTGGTAGCACTTTCACCAGAGCACACCACAAGTGACAAATTGCAAAGTGACAAATTGCAAAGAGAATTGGTAAACCTACAGTTTAGGAATAAAAAGAAAAGTAATCAAAATTCATACATGGTAGGATCTGTTAAAAGGGAAGAAAAGAGGTTCTGGCATGTTATGTATATAAGCCTACCCATCTTTCCTGCCTCGAGTGATGTTGGAATAAGTTATTAAGTGATTGGCTTTGTACATAGCCAGAGGTAAAGAGGAATGTAAGCAAAACAGATACAGATTTGTCAGAAATAATCTGCTCAAATCCAGAGATTTAGTTTTTTGGCACAATAACTGGCCAAACAGAGTAGGAGGAAATAGAAGTATTGGTGCATGACATTAATAAGGCAGTTTACATTATCTCCACTTGACATTCACATAAGCAGACAAATAGTTATTCAGCTGAAATTGTTAAAGGATGAAGTCACAGAAGTTTGAAATGCTGTGGTTCAAAAGCAGTGATCAGCATTTTACATTTTAAAGAGCTATTATATTTTATATAATAAAAATTGCAAAATGGCATGGATATGGTGATCTATGCAGCATATTATAAAAATTCCCAGGGATATGGAGAAATGGAGTGACATCAGTATAGTAAAAGACAAAAAGAAGTGCTGAGTATTGCCATAGAGAGTGCAAATACATATTGTGGAGATACAGGCAGAAGTTCATCTCATGACCTAAACAGTATCTTTGGTCCTTTCAGAACAGAAGGATGGGCTTTGAGATCCAGACTTTCTAGGATTTCTAGGATGCTTCATTTTTTTTAGGCATGATCCCTCAGTTCCAGATGGATGCATGGCAGATTCCTGAACACAGCATTGCACACAGAACAAAGGGTTCTCCAGTGAAATCTGCTCCTTATTTCAACTCCTTAAGTAATTAGTGATGAGGCTTACATCTTTCTAGTATAAGATGTAAAGTACATGTTTTGTGTGATACATGGGATTAAATCCAATTATACATACAAGATAGAATTTTGTCTTAACCATCTTTTTTTGCTTTCTTCTTACATGCTCAGAAACATGTATTTTGGTCTGAAGGGACACAGGGTGGTCAGATATTCTCCTGATCATTTTTCTTTTATAGTTCAGTAGTTGCCATATTTGGGGGCCTTCTAGTTCAGCCTGGAATTGTTGTTCTAAAGTGTTTGACCTGGCATGAACACAACACGGATAAACATTTTGCTTTATTGGAGGAATTTCAGCTTTCAGTCCAGTCATATGCAATAATCATTCCACCCCAAGGAATCTAAGGTACAGTCTGTCACACTTCTTAGGACGACAGAACAAAGACATTTTTCACCCTATTTAGCAGACTGAATGACTAGTTGCTGAAATAGTGTAATGTGGTGATATAGAAACAGATATAGGGACACATCCAGTACTAAATTACAAAACAGTCACTTCTCAGTTAACTTGGAGTGAATCTAAATTGCTATCTTGCAGGTTTGTTCTAGCCCATACTTAACTCCATGAAGGGACTTCCTGGGGAGAGTTGTGCTTCCTTATGGCCAAGACAGTGCTGTCCATGGGCTCTTCTAGACATGAGGGGCTGTGTGGGCACCTGAGGAGCCCTGTGTGAACTGAGTGCTGCAGAAGGGGTTGCTGCAGTTGATCCATGATAACATGAGATACCTGGAGCAAAGGTGCAGCACAAAGGTGCCCTCCCCATGCTGTCTCTGAAGAGAAGTCCCTTTATTGTAAGACCAAAGTTGGTTTTCCTCTTTACTTCTTTTTCCTTTTCAAGTTTAAATTTAATCTATTCTTAAGTGTGTGTTCAAATGCAAATCCCAGGTCTCTTCCACACTCAGCATCCAGTAGCAATGACAACATCTGATCTTAGTTTAAACCTAATCCAACAGTAACACATGCTCTTTGGAAATAGATGCAGCAGCTTGAGGTGTCCCTGCAGGGTTTAGTAAGGACTAAGTAAGGACTGTCTTTCAGCCAGAACCACTCCTTACATCCCTATTGGTGTTTTACATTCCCTGGCCTTGATTTGGCCTTTCATATTCCTGATCTGCTGCACTACCTTCTGGTTAAAAGATCCATGATAAAATTATTACTATTACTAACTAGTACAGTTTAACCCTGCTTTTGGGTAAACATAAGTCTCTTGAATTTCATTAAGAGTAAGGTAACGAACTGATGATCTAGGACAATTTGCATTATAGTACTTTCTTTTGTCTGCAGTTGCCTGGTAAATTGAGATTTGTAAATGGAACACCCCAAAATACTGTATATAGGACTTGCAAAAAAACCAAACCAGTGTTCCTAATCTAAAGGGTACTTGGCTAAGATTTTCTTAAGGAAGATTCCAGCATTCAGAAAAGCACACATTCAAAATTTAGTGAAGCCTCAAATGCCAAGGTGCATCAAGACACACACCCTTCCCACTGAATTTCCATGTGAAAGGGGGAAATATTGCAAGCATTAGAATGGGTTCACTCCTCAGAGACTGCAAAGTTTAACTTGTATTAGTACTTTGTAATGAACATGTTAGTCCTCATGGTGTGATTTGTCATGTGATGTGACAATTCTCAGGTTTGCAGATGGCTTTATCAGGTTTTTATAGGTAACAAAGCCTGTGGTAAGTTACTCACTCTGTGTATGTGATTCATAAATTTTTTACATCATGGTTACTTTGTGATGATGCTTTCAGTAAGTGATGCAATTAATGCATCATTGCATTTAATTGAACACATAGAAAGAAACAAGAGAGTCCACTTTTTAAAATGTGCCTCTAAAATTCAAGTAGTGTTCCTCTTCTAAAATATTTTTCTTCTGTTTGCAGGGAAGAACATACACATGTACAAATTCTCCAAAAGGGACATTGCTGATGTGACAGATGGCCACTTTTCAAGAAAATAAGAGGGTCACAGACAACCCAAATGGAAACATTGCTTTAACTGTACCTTCTGTGTAGCCTGTCTTAATAAACAAATTTGCATATTTAAAGTATGTTTACTGTATTAAAACCAGTGGTTGTAAACATACCCATAGTACAGTTATAACCTGAACCCTGATTTATTTTCTGACTAAAGATGGATCATAAGAAGAGGATGTCCTCACTCTATAGCAGAAGATCAGCTGTCCAGAGAAGGGATTGAGTGGGTACCGAGTGCCATTCCCACAGTCCCTCCTGGGATCAGGGAGGCCCCAGCATCTCTGTCAGAGGCAGTGCTCTTGGGCTCTGGGCTGTTCTGAGCCCACAGGTGCTGCTGCCCCTGGAGGGGTTTCCTGTGGCAGCTACCAAACTGGTGATGGCAACCTGACACGTGCCAAGCCTCTGCCCTGGCTCCCTGCCTGCAGGTCCTGCTGGTGGGCAGTGACCTGGGCACCCCCTGCTCTTGCTGCAAGTAAGGGTTGTTTTGGAATGCTGGAGGCGTGGGCAGGGGACTGCCCCCCCAGGTCCCTGTCCCCTCTGGGGCCGTGAGGTCACCAGCCTGACTGGCACCCAAGAACCACTTCCTATGGCAAACATCAAAACAAAACTGGAAAGCTCAAGGCTGCTGTGACAGGGTGCACTCCAGAATGGCTCTGGTGGCCCTTCCCACAGGAAGGGTGTGCAGGAACTGGGGTTTGGTCCTTTCCTTGTACTTGTCATGGATATGGGCACATATCTTAGATTTGTTCTTTCTGTTTCACTGAGCAGCTGGTTTTTGCATGCTGATGGAAATTAACTGTGTTTGGGTTGTCCTACAGTGCTTGGTAATACACAGGTGGCTTTTACCTTTGATCTCAGCCAAGCAGCACCTGCTCTACCCCTGGCCCCAGACCATGGCTTTGTCAGCAGTGCAGGCAGAGATGTACAGCACATTTCATGCCTGAGGAACATTCTCAGGTCAGTGACTTTGGGTTTGAAAAACAATAATGTTTACGCCTTACAGTACCTTTGAAGGGTCAAAATTATCCATACCTTTCAGCACATGCCTGCTTTCATTTTCTTTGAGCAAAGATTAATCACTGGAGGGCTGGAAGCAAAAAAAAAAAAAAAACAAAACAAAACAAAAAAACCCTCAGACAGTAGTGTAACCCAGTTATATGTTTATGAAGCTTTATAGCTGAAAAAGATGGTGAACTTCAATAAAATGGGTTTAAAGTTAAAACTGTAAATTACATTTAGGACCATGTTGCAAGCATTATCCAAACACTTATTGAACTCAGACAGTCTTGGTGCTCCCCAGGGAACATGTTTTGGTGCCTAACTGCCCTTTTCCTAACATCCACCCTAAACCTCCCCTGGCACAACTTCACAACATAACTTATAATAATATTAACAGAATAATAACAGATTCACAGCACATTTCATATGACACCGTAGGTGTCATAGAGGGATGTTGCTGTAATCTTTAGACATCAACAACCTTATGGCAAACATTCCTGTTAGCCCATGACACGTGTGAAATGCTGACAAGGAGTAATGCCAGCTGAATGGCAGACTGTGAATCAAGAAAGGATCTCTTTTCTGTCTGAGCTCAGGTGGTTGAACAATATTTTGATTGATTAGGATTTTATGATATTTTCTAGCTTCACAAGGTCAGCACAGCCCTGATCTCACTGGGAGGAGAATGTGCAGCCATCCATATAGATCAAAGGAAGGTCAGAAGATGTCTTACTGCCTTTTGCTAATGAAATGTGGAGACGAATGGCTTTTTATCTCTGGATGAGTTGCAAAACCAGCTTTTTATTTAACTGATTAAATTCCCAACTCTCCCTCCTTTTTCATTTTAATTTAAAAATTTTAAAGTGGAATTTTAATTTCTTTTAAATTTGCCCAGGAAAAATGCTTTTAAAAGTTCCCTGAACTCCATGTACTGTCACCCAGCAGGCACAGTGTGTGTGTTGTCTGGCACAGCTGGGCTCCAGCTCCCAGCTTAGCTGGGGGCAGTTTGGAAGTGCTCAGCCCCTTGCTTCAGGCACCCTTTGGAGGGTATGCAGGCTTTCTCCTCCAGAGGTGTAACTGCTCAGTAACACTGGTATCTAGAGGAAAAGAGAATTCTCTCCTGGGTGGCACAGAACCATGAGCAAGAGCAGAGGGAAAAGCCATGTCTGAATCCTGTGGGAGACAGTGTAGTACAAAGAGCTTGGATTTGTGGATTTCCAGCTTGCTCTCTAGGCGGCAGCATTTGTTTTCTTTTAAAGCTCAGCTCATTTTGTGTTCTCAGTAGGGGGTGTAGGAAAGGCTTTTTATTCATCATTATCGTTCGAATGCATAAACCTTCTGTTAGGAGCTGTTTGTTTTCAACTGTATTATATTATTAGTGTCAGTGATAAACGGTCAATTTCATTTACTTGGCAAAGTTAATTTGCTTTTTCCTGATCATTGAATCCAAGTGTATTTTTGGAGGAGACTCCATGGCACACAATTTGATAGAAACGTTATTCAGATGACTCACAGATGAAGCTGTGGCATTCATTGCTATGTGTAGGATTGCACTGGCTTCTATCTTAGCTTTGTGATTTTCGAGCTGGTCACGTAGCAACTGCTTCATTTTCTAAACTCTAAACATCTATAGAAGCAGAGTAGGTTTCTGGGGAATTCTTAGCTAGATAACCTCAGAGAAAAACCCCAACTATTCTCTGTGAAAGTGCCTCATCTTTACACTGAGTAAAAACTAACCCCTTTTAAGAGCTTCTTCAGTCAGCTGGTGAGAAATTATGCAAGAATCTGGTACATGTTTAATTTTACCTTTTATTTTATTTTTACCTTAATTTTACCTTTTTTTTTTAATCTGGCACCTTCAATTTTACCTTTTAAGCAATTCTGAATATTTCTTCCTGACATTAGAAGTTGACCTAAAACTGCTCTTATATAAGCTAGTCTATTCCAGCTTCCTCAGTGAAAAATCCTACTGTGAAGCACTCTGGAGCAGAGAATAGGGCTGGGACTGAGGTCTTTAGCTTGTCAAGTAATATCTGGTGTCACTGTAGATATTTTGGGATAGTGTAGCAAGCCCCAAACTGCTGCACTGGAAGAGCCTGGGTTTTCTGGAAGTCCTTTCTTATTTGCCAGTCCCCTTCAAATATTTTGGATATCCAGCAATTTGCAGATGTCTGTAAATGGAGACGTGAAGTGAACCCTCTCTTAATTTGAAGAGCATCTGGCAAAGAGGAGTGGCTTCTGTAGGAGGCTTTGGGGCTGTTGTACAGTAGCTATCTCCATGCACACTCTCACCTTCTGGCAAGCTTTGGGAAGCTCCAAGTAGCTTGCTTCTCTCTGAATTTCTAAAAATCAGCTTTGCATTTACATGGGATTCATAGCTTTTCTTTCCCCAAAGTGTTCCTAGGCCTATGGTAGAGGACATAAACACAGCTGGGTGCACAAAGCTGTAGTGAAATGTGAGGTTGTGAATGAGAGGTCACATCAATGATGAAGTTTATCTGCTAAGAATCATAGAACGATGTAGGTTGGAAAAGACCTTTAAGATCATCAACTGTAAACCTAACATGCCAAGTCCCACTAAGCTGTGTTACCAACTGTAAATCCTGGCAATCAAGCAAAATGCAAATTGTGCCCCTGGTGCTTTCTCTGACTATCAACTTGCTCTCTGCCCAGAGGATGCACTCAACCCCCTTGGCCAGATCATTAATAAAGACATTAAACAGGACTGGCCCTGGGGAACCCCACTAGTGACCATCCACCAGCTGGATGCATCTCCACTCACAAACACTCTCTGGGTTGTGCCACAGATAGTTTTTTACATAGCAAGCAGTGCACCCATCCATGTCATGATCAGCCAGTTTCTCTAGGGGAATTTAGTGATCTGCAATCATAACCAAAGTTTGGAACTTGACTATCTCTTGAGAACTAGATTGTATTAATGTCAGAATCAAATAGAACAAGGCAATAAGCAAGTCATCTCCATGGATCAGCCAAAATAAGACTTCTTAAAATGGGCACAAGGGTCTGCAAACTAGGACCACCTGTTGCTATGTGACAAAGCCCAAAAAGAGCAAAAACCTGCAACTTCTTACACTCCTACACAGAGAAAGAAGGATATACTTTTAAAAAGTCATCAGAAGAGGAAAAGGAGTTTTTTTAACTCTGAAAAGAAAACTGTTTGGGCTCATGAGGAAGAAAAAAAATTGCTGTCCCCTGACAAGCATTGCATTTAGACTCTGCCATGCACCAGTAAGAAACACATACAAGTGTGCCAGAACAGGGATCTTGAATATATGCAAAATTTTTGTTAAATACCAACAAAAATTTACTTCCCATGAGGAATACCAGAACAGGAACATTTAGAGGTTTTAGGAACAACATTCCTGAAATGTTCACAATTCTGCTGCTCACCATCCTAAGCCACCTGATCTAGAGGGCCCTGCTTGGAGCAGGAGGTTGGACTAGAGATTGGAGAGGTCATTTCCACCTCACTTATTCTGCAGTTTCCAATAGCACAGGCTGGTGCATTTGCAACCAGCACCTGTGCTGCCCAAAGTCAGGTGTTATCAGAACTACCAGAACCACCCCGACAAGTCTGACTACTTATGAGAAAGCACCTCAGTTATCTGGAGTGCTGTGTGTAGGTGCACAGCAGGAAAATGCCTCTGAGCCTTCTGCCTAACTTCCCATCTCTTGCATTCAATTTCCTTGGGTGAAAGCACCATGAAATGTTTAGGGTCAACAGTCTGCCATTGGGGAGTGATAAGAGTACTTTATTCAGAACAGATAAAATACTTTCAGAGCCTCCAGGTCTTCAGAAATGACAGGACTGAAAAACGTCTGGCAGAGACCAGCAGGCTGTGAGAAGATACACACCAGGTGTCTCCTGTGTGTCCCTACTCCCAGGTCACCAACATTTCCAGTGCAACAGCAGGCTGGGCACAGAGAGCAGAGCTGGTCCCTGCTGTATTTTATTTTCCCCATGGCTCATATTTGCCATGGTTGGGCACACAAGTCAGCAAACCCATTTCTATGCACAGAACATGTGAATGCGTAGCGGAGGTTAGAATTAGTA